CGCTAGGTGAGCGTATTACGTCCCCAGCCCCTTTCCCCAGCCTCCCATAAGATCTCTAAGGCAGGGCCCGGGCTGCCTCAGTGTGTGTGGAGTGTCAGCCCCTGCCTCAGCAGAATTTAAACCTGGGACCTTCAGCACCACAGTACAGCCACCAATCGCTTGAGCTAAAGGGGCAGCTCCATTACTTGCTAGCAGCAGTAGATTGTTACCCAGTAGTGGCACAGCCCTTGGAGCTGGCTGGGAGAGGCACTTTGGATGGGTTAATGAGTGGGTAGGCCACATTCATTCAGTGTCATGCTCTGTCTCCCTCTAGTGGTGACTGGCCACATGGCGGTTGATGCATATGGGCTAAGAAGGGGCTCTTTTGGTTCTGGCAGGAGCAGATCCAGAGGTCTGAGGTTCGATCCCCACTGCCCATGTCCCACCCAGGGGTGGCAGTGTTATGCGAGTGCTACTGCGAGTAGCGCCTCCCCCAGGCAAGCATGTTAATCTCTCTCTTCCCCCACCCCTGCCAGGCCAGCGGGATCTGGCAGCACATGAATGCCCGGGACACCCACATGTTACTGCAGAGCGAGCTCTTCCTCAATGTGGCCACCAAGGACTTTGAGGAGGGGGAAGTGCGGGGACAGATCCGCTCCCTGCTGTACAGCGGCCTCCTGGCACGATATACAGGTACCTGCTGCTGGGATGGGCCAGCCCCAGGGAAGAGGTGGGTGGGTCTCTGTAGTGGGCACTGCATGGGCATTCCCTGTGAATCAGGAGCTCGGGGGGCTGACCCCAGGGATTGGGGAGTGGGCGGGTGGCTCCTTGCAAGCCCAGCTGGAAGCATGTGTCTGACCTGTGCCCCTTGTGCCCAGAGCTGCCCGTGCCCCTGGCTGGCCAGCTGGTGTCTCCCCCTGTGCGGACCAGCTCGGCAGGACACGCCTGGGTCTCCCTGGACGAGCACTGCCACCTGCACTATGAGATCGTGGTGGGCGGGCTCGGCAAGGTGGACGACGTCGCCATCAGCGCCCACCTGCACGGCGTGGCCGAGCTGGGCGAGCGCAGCCACGAGCACACCCGGCTCCTCAAGGGCTTCTACGGCACCGAGGTGAAGGGCCCAGGGGGCAGTGCTGGGGGAGCAGCTGGGAGGGGCTTGGAGGGGGCTGTTGGGGGAGTGGCAGGAAAGGGGATGGGGAGGGCTGCCTGGGAGAGCAACTGGAGGGGAATGGGGTAGGGTGGGGGAGCCTTGGGGCAGTGGCAGGGGGGGGGGGCGGGGCG